ACACCAAGAGCATGATCATAAACTCGGATGGAGGAATCTGGGTCCCTCAATAGAGTTCATTAACAAAAAAAAAGTTTTTGCTTTAAGGCCCAGGACTTTCTTTACCTCCATGGTTGTTTTGGCCTTTTACCTCAACCAGGACATCGTTCTTCCATCACTCTTTCAGCTCCAGTTCACCAAAGAGATTTTCCCTTCATTGTCTGAATGTGGTACAAGTGGATTCCACCCCTTCCTGTCAAGGTGCACTGTACTAGATCTGTTGTTGTTTCTTGGGCTTTTCAGCATCAGGCAATTGTTTCCAAGGTTTGCAAGGCTGGCATCATTTCTTTTGTTCACAAGATCTTATGTTCCACCAGGTGGACAGTACAGCCGCATCTAGTGCCAGTTTTGGGCATTAGGCCCTTCAGGCAGCTCTTTGAGCTGCAGGCAGTTCCTACTTCTGATTTTTTTTTCTTGGGCCTATTCAGTTGTTCTGCTCTCCCCTAAGTTGGGCTGCTTTTGGATTTCCCAAAGGTTAAAGACTTCCTGTGTCCTTCCAACTGATGCCGTAAAATCTTTTTTTTTTTTCTTCTTTCATTTTGAATAGAGTAAGAGAAGTATAAAAACCCTGTCAGTTTTTTTTGCCATATGACCCATTGGAGAGATTTCCCTTCACTGCAGTCTCATAGTCACTGAAAGCAGTGAGGGAAATTTTTGATTGTCACCAGGGTCACCAGAACTAGTGTCCTCTTTGGAAGATTTCCCCTCTCTTCCCGTTCTGTGATCACCTAAAATTTGGAACTTTCACTTTCATAGTGTTAACAGTCACCAGGAGGGGGTGAATCTTCCTAATGGAGAAACAGACAGCAGTAACAAATGGCAAGGTGTTCTAATCCCCATCCACTTTATCCAAAAAAAAAAAAAAAAAAAGTTTGCCTTTAGTTATAGTTTAAGAACATTTTGTCCCTATGCAGGATCAGAAAAAGTATCGGTTGTAAGCATCTTCCAAGATTTCAGTAGAAAGGGCCGCCCCAACTTTGGATCTGAATTCCTGAGCCCACAGGCCAACCTATTCTTTACTGACAGGCAAATTTGTCTGTGAAGGATGACAGGATGTGGAGTCCAGGCAATCCCACCGTTATCTGTTCAGCAGATTCAACTAGACTCTCACCAGACCAGTGAAAAGACATCCATCCTCTCAGGGCACTAGCAACAACCTGAGGCAAAAATCTGTTTGTGAGTGTCCAAATCCTCCAACAGGCAGCAATATTACCCAGCAGTCTTCAAATTAATGTGCACTTCAGTGAAAGAGAATAAAAGGGTAAAGCATCTTTGAAGAAAATGAGTGGACTGCTGTTTAAAGTATATGCAAACCCCTATTTTACTTCTCACATACACACTCTGATTCTGCAGCCCAGGCGGGAAGATTGTTTGAATCAGGAGATAAAAACCAGCAGACTCCTGGTATTCTGTAGTCCTGCCTTAGGGTGACAAAGCTTCTCCTTCTTAGATAGAGTAAGTGTTCTTACCCTAGGACTGGATGTTTGTCATTAAAAGAATTACCAGGTAAAATAAATGTAGAAAGTCTGAAAAAAATGAAACTAATACAGCCACCACATCTAAGGACTTAGAAAGGTAAAACTTTTTTTTTTGCACATGAATTTAGGTATATTTTGGCCTTTATTGTTCCTAATTCATAGATCTGTCTCTATTTTTTAGGTGTCATGCAACCTGAGAGTTTGCTTTCCTGCATTCATTCTGGGCCAGTGTCAATAGTATGTTCCATTTACTTTGGATGTATTGCTCAAGTCTGGGTAAGAGGGTGAGGTGCTCAGCAGTTGTTAAATCATCCTGTTATTGGTGCTTTCTTTTTATTCTTTCGTCTGCTCTAATAAAAGCCCTGTCTACTACAACACTCATTTTCTTGTCAATCCATTAAACACCTTCAGAAGAAAGTGCATGCTCTGGTAGCCAATGACACCCCCTTTTGTTGCCCACATAATCCTAAACAGAAGAGTTTAGAAATTACAAAAAAGTGCTAACCATGTGGAATTAGAGAGCGAGGCATCAGTCTACATGGTCTGTCCGGGCCAAACGAGTTCCCAGCAGACAACAGCAGAGTGCTGCTAGTGAAGAGAAGAGTAAGGCAGAAATACCAGCCATCTATAAAACAGAGAGCTGCAAAAGGAATACTTTACACCTGCATCACAAACAGATGAAAGCCTTTAAGAATTGCAAAGACGTGCGAAATATGACAAAGCCAAGCAGACTGCCTGGTCAAATGTAAACATCTTCAGGATGATAATGTGCTATCACCTTATTTTCTAGTCCTAAATGTTGACAATATGGATATTAGATCTAAGCAGGACTTTTAATAGGATTAAACAAGAGTGCTCTATACTTACACAGATAAGCCATGACTTTCCAACCACTGATAGGTTAAGTGAATAACATTGGATTATCTTGTTATAATGGCATCTGATGTTGTGAATGAGAAAAATGTGCATCAAAGTTTGTTGTGTATGGGGCTGCGTAGCTGCAGCCCGGTCATGTTGCACATGCCGACCTGTCTCCACAAAATTGCCTAGAATGGGCACTTGAGCCTCAGAACTGGGACCACAGAGCAATGAAAGAAGGTGGCCTGATCTGATGAATCACATTTTCTTTTACGTCATGTGGATGACCGGGTGCGTGTGCGTCGCTTATCGGGGGGAAAGACGGCACCAGGATGCAGTATGGGAAGAAGGCAAGCCTGCGGAGGCAGTGTGATGGTTTGGGCAATGTTCTGAGGGGAAACCTTGGGTCCTGCCATTCATGTGAATGTTATTTGACACATACCACCTACCTAAACATTGTTGCTGGCCAAGTACTCCCCTTCATGGAAATGGTATCCCTGATGGCAGACAGCCACACTGCAAAATGGGTGAAAAATGATTTGAGGAAAACAAGTCTGTGGTGTTGACTTCCAAATTCTTCAGATCTCAGTCCAGCGAACATCTGTGGGATGTGCTGGAAAAACAAGTCCGATCCATGGAGGCCCCACCTTGAAACTTACAGGACATAAAGGATCTGTTACTAATGCCTTGGTGCCAGATGCTACAGCATACCTTCAGAGGTCCAGTGGAGTCCATGCCTCAACGGGTCAAGGCTGTTTTGGCGGCAAAAGGGGGACCTACTCAATATTGGCGATCATAAAGTTATGGCCGATTCATTGTAGTCCGAACTCCATGTAAGGAGCAGACAACCAAAGAAAATGAATAAGTTATTGCGCTGACTAGACCCCAACAATTATTTAACGGGGCACATAAGAGGGCTAGGACAGTGGTATGGAACAACAGGTGAAATGGATGCAGCTCCTCACAGATTAGGTCTTGAGATCCTAATGCAAATATATAAAACAAATGCAAGAGTGCGCCTCCATCTTGGTGTAGCGATTTATTAAAAAGAATAAAATAAAAAATGGACTCAATAGTTAAAAGTGGATCAAGGCTTGTCATAAACCCATTTAGACCTCCATAGGATCGCAGTAAGGCTGCAGAGCTCAAAAGGCAAGCGGCTGACTGAAGCAGAGTTCTTGGTGATAGTATAGCTGTCAGTCTTCAGGCTGGAACATAGGCAGCAGCAGCTTCCAGGTGTAGCAAGATGGCTGCAGCTCCAATCAGCACCTTTCTTAGGTGGGTGATGGTGACAGGAAGTGATGGGGGTGTGGCTACACATTTCACAGCAACAGGACCGCCCCTTTATCAAACCATAGGAAGGATATTGGTGAAAGGAGGAGAAGTCTTTCTATGCTGTGAAGAGTGGAAGGGGAAGGGAGCAGGAGACCAGTACTATTAACTATTGTTTAACCAAGCTAGTGCTAGACAACGCATGTGAAGGAAAACACAAGGGGATACATAAGGCTAGTGTTAATTAACCCTTACACATCAGCACAGAATATGTAAGGAAAAGATCATTTAAAAATATGTACTAAAACTCAAAATTACATCAATTCCTTTGGAGGTATTGTTTTATGGCAATCCTTGATCCACTTTTAAACTAGTGAGTGAATTTTTGATGTGCTTTATTCATTTTTAATAAAACTGCTATAAAAAGGCACCTTCTTGCATTTGTTTTATATAGGGAGCAGACAAGGCTGCCTCTGCTGCACTGAAATGCAAAGCAGTGTTTTCAGCCCTACCCGAGTTCTCACCTGCTAGACTACAGAACACCCCCATTTGTAACAGAAATAAAAATAGGGGGAGGTCTTTTGTAGCCTGCAGGGGAGGTCAAAGAGGTCTGACAACACTGCTTGGGATTTCAGAGCAGCAGAGGTAGTGTTGGCGGCTCACTAAAGTAAGGAGGAGCACACTGGATTTCTGGTAAGATTTAAAAGAATTTTGCTGAACTTGCAGCTATAGCAGAGATGGTGTACGGTTTTTATTGTTATTATTTTGCCCTGACATACACTTGACATAACACAGTTTGGCTACTATATCATCCACAGCCTGCTGAGTGCATGATGATTGCATATTGCATCACACAATGCTTTCATTGTCATCAATACAATATGGGTTCTATTTACAGCACTGTACACACACACAGCTATGTCAGCCAGTGGTGACCACAGGGGAGAAGAGGGACTGCTGACAACAGCTGCACCATGGAAGCCTATGGGTGACATCAGTCCTGGTTTTCCCAGCAGTCATCGGGCACTCTCTCCATTCTCCTGCAGCCACCATTGTCTGACACAGGGAATCATGTGGCCAGACCAGACAGGCAAAAAAAATAGGCAAGTATAACAATCTTTTTTTTTCTAAAGGTTAGTTAATAAAGGTGTTAGGAGGGGGGAGGGAGCATTTGTAAGAGTAGTTAGGCTTTAGCTGGAATTCTACTTTAAATGTCAGTCTTTTAAAACTGTCTGGAGCTTTAAACAACTTTAAAAAGATTACTGCTACTAATGTCTTGCTAATTAGATTTGAAATACCTGCTGAATAATGCAATTTTCATCGTCTTAAAAACCATCAGAATAGGGTAATTACCTGCAGCATGAACTCCATACTGATGCGGTTTTCTATCAATCTCATGACCAGGTGAGCCTTGCACTGAAACATGTTGAAATACTCCCAGGACAAGGTATGAGGGTGTTTTATGGAAAAATGAAGGTGAGAAGATGGACTGTAAATACAAAACAAAAAACTAAAGATGTAATACTATTCTAAGAACAGTCAAAAATGTCCATTTCACGCAGTACACAATTGTAATATGATATCATAAATGTTGTAACAGAGCGAGACAAGGGGAGATTTACTAAAACCGGATCGTGAAAAATCTGGTGCAGCTCTGCATAGAAACCAATCAGCTTCCAGGTTTTATGTCAAAGCTTAATTAAACAAGTTGAAGTTAGAAGCTGATTGGCTGTCATGAACAGCTGCACCAAATTCTGAGTGTTCCAGTTTTAGTAACTCTACCCCATATTGTATAAGAACAGACAACATTCTAAAGTGAGATTTCCAACAATTAAGCTCTTTTACTGATTTTAAATCAATGTTTCCTAAAATGTGAGGAAGGTATCACTTGTGGTACAGAAGATGATACTTAGGGGCTTCAGGACTTGTATGCATAAATATATGTCGCTTTATTATCAGTTACCAGTGACAGGCACAAGAAAGCGTGGTGAATGACAGTTCCTGGAGAGTAGATTTCAATTGAGTCACTGAAATCCCACATAAGCATTAACATGATAATGTCATTTCAAAACTTGTTTTCAATCTTAGGAGTACAGCCTAAGCTATTTTGGCTGTACTTCTCCTGTGGATCACAGAAGTGCAGTTCGTTCTGCACTCCTGTGACTGGTTGTCAGCTGGTGTCACTCAACTGGTCCAGGCTGGGGAAAGATCTTGGTTTTAAAGTCAGGGTCCACCCCAGAGTCTGGAGCAGCACCAGGCTCAGCTTCTTAGTGATCCGCTGAGAGTATGAGCCAGCCGCTCCCTCCCCCTACACAGCCCAGCGTTCCAGCACTGAGGAGGCAGAGCAGACAGGGGATAAAGGGGTAACTGACAGTCACCGCTCTCTGCTCAGAGCGGCAGTGAGAACTTAGAGAAGTGAACGCTGAGTGCTCAACCTTAGAGCCGTCGGGGAACAGATGCTGCATAGGATTAAAAAAAAAAAAAAAAAAAAAAAAAGGGAAATACCATACTTCTCTTTTAACCACTTACCATCCTAAAGATTTACTCCCCCCCCCCCCCCCTTCATGTGCAGGCAATTTTTTTGCCATACAGCACTGTGCTACTTTAACTGACAGTTGCGCGGTCATGCAACACTATACACAAAATAAATCACAAAAGATTACTTTTCAGAGGGTGTTATAGCAGCAGCTTTTTTCTTTTCATTTTTTTTTTTTTATTTGGCAAATGGAAAATTTCACATCGCAGGACCACGTTGCAACTGCAGGCCAAGCATCTTGGTCTCAATGTTTGCTTGGCAACTCCAAACCAAGCTTCTTGGTCTCAATGGGTGAGCGTGACTGGTGTTGCCGTCTGTCAAGCTCTGCAGACCAAGTTAAAATTTCTGCAGCCATAAAGTGACCTGTTTTTACCACCCCATGGCCACCAGTCTGAAAGAGTCCTGAGTCACATTAACCTTATGATAGCGAGGTGAAACTCCAACGGTTGTGATTTCTGCGCTTGTTCTGCGTCAATGTTTCAAAGTATGCAAGCTAGAAACAGGCAATTCTTATTTTCAGGAGGAGGCCAGCAATGGCAGCCCCCATATTTCTATCAGTACAGGTTCATATTAAAGTTATGACTTCCCTAGATATACCATCTATACATAAATGGAAAAATATTCAATTTTTGTTTTTGTGTTAAAGTCCCTAACTAACAAGGTCACAATTGTTCTATTCATTTTAGTATACTAGTCCTTTAAGTCACAGCCATGCCAACATATGTACTTAAATGGCTCTTAGCAGAGGGATTAATGGAATATTTTTCTTTTGGCCTTCTTAGCTGTGAGACAGAACTGGTGAAAGTCTGTTCATTTGGGTCAGCTATGTTGGAAAATTTCCAACGGTGACTTGTAAACAGGCAGCTATGAACAAACTGGATTATTTATGCTTTTACTATGCTGCCCAAATAAAGATTAAATGTATAACTGCTGGAAAATTCATATAGGAATAACACCTCCTCCAGATAGAGCATCAACAGGCTTCTTTCTGATGGAACAGATTTAATGACATTTGCCGGTCAAGCACAAATAATGTTTCACATCAGGTAATATTCCAGAGGTCTCCGACCAGTCCTACCTATATATAGTCCTATACTAAATATTTGCAAATGTTCTTCATTTGCCTCAACCATGAAGCACTATAGGCACTGGTCTGCACACCTCACACTCCCAACCTTTGCAGATTTCCCCCCTCAACAGACCAGCATGCCAATTTTAATCACAAAAATAATTAAGCAATTATAGAGAATGATACATCCAACACTCCAACATAGTTCTAGGCTGTTTACTAGAGTTATCCCATAATATTTGAATCCAAGAGCAATGGATTTGTCTGCAAATAGCAATTCAAATTATTTTTTTTTGTTTTAGTAAATCTGGAGGTGGGTTTGGGGGGCGGGGGTCAATGTGTGCCTTTTCTTGGACTCCAAAAAAGTATAACATATGAAGTGCTGGCTTTTTGACGCAAAGATAAATTCCAGGCGTGGGAATGTTTACAGTTACATAGGTCCAGCTTTGACCAATGTAATTATACATGTGCCATACACACATGGGACTGCTATTACAGTGATCTAAACTAGCTGCCAGGGATAACACAGGAGGTTAGTCATTCACTCAGCATGGGCACCAATCAGGTTACACTTTGCATTATCTCAATGAATGTATAGCATACTCTGATTGAACAAGGTGTTGGGGGGTGCGGAGAGATCTCTCCATATTGTCCAATCAGAGAACAGTTTGCATTCATGGAGAAAGTAGAAAGTGTTCACTGAATGGTGTCCATGCAGAGCAGTTGACCTCCTGTGTTTGCAATGTATCAGGGACCCGTGATCTAGTGGGAATCGCTGAAGTAAAGGTGCCTACTCTAGTGATTTCCAGCTTCCAAGGTGATCCCACAGGTATGGCACATACATACATACCTACATTGGACCAACATAATTATGTAAAAATTGCAATATCTGGAATTCAGCTTTAATCTCCATATAAGCATTTTCAACAGGTCAACACATCAACCTGTGTGAAAATCCTGAGTACAGACACAACCCTACAGCAGAAGATTTTTTTTTTTTTTTTTTATATGATCATGACAAGAACACGGACACCTAGATCATCTCAGCATGTATGTTTAGATCAGTGGACATACTGCAATACAATCTCAGGGTAAACAATACCTGTCGGCTTAAAGTATCCGAAGCAAAATTTGCCCTATAATGGTCAGTTAGGGCTGTTACCCAAAGTCTGATGTTACCAGCACACATCAAGACAGTTACCACACTTAAGGCGTATGTAAAAACAAACAATGAACTTTACTTATATGACATCTTTTGGTTGGTTTTGGATATTTCTGTTACACAAATTGCACACAAATATCTGTTGATCTCTGTTCATTAAAGCTGATCTCCATGTGTCCTGTCACTTCAAATAGTTTGTTTGGACCAACCTAGTTCAAATGAAATATTTAAAGTGACAGGACACATGGAGATCAGCTTTAAGTGCAACAGAATACCTACTGATGGAGCCTGAAATTCAAAGCTGTCCTATCTAAACTTCCCGTGTCATCCGAAGCAGACCTCGCACTACAGAACAATTAGTCTTCAACAACTTGGTAGGCTGACATCAACTTCTGCAATTTCAGTCAATAAAATAGTATGTGACATTTCACAAAAGGATATTAGAAGCGAGGAAATGTGAACAGTCTGCAGATATGTGCGGCAGAACGTTTTTTTTTTTATTTTGCCTTCACATACATTTTAAGTGAAATGGACTGGATTAGGTAATAGTCATGTCATGTCTGTAGAGAAGTTAAAAAGCCAACTCCAAAAACATGCTGGTAGGTGAATTGGCTGTCTAAATTGTCCCTAGTATGTGTATGTATGACTGTAAGTTAGGGACCTTAGATTTTACACCCCTTGAGGGCTAGGAAATGATGTGAATGTACAATGTATATGTAAAAGCGCTGTGTAAATTGACAGCACTATACAAGTACCTGAAATAAATAAAAAAATAACACTTTTCTATTGTTCTCCTTTAAGTTACTCCCTCCCCCCATCCCACCAACCTCTGCTGCCCACAATTCTGCAAGATCCTTGGTGTGAGACTTTGGGAAGCTGCACAGGTTTTGCAACAAACTTTCTGGCTGGCCCCTCACTTCATTTGCGATTGCAAAGAAAAATCCCATTTGGCCAGAAGCACAGACTAAGCAAGAAATGGCCACAAAGTTTACAGCAGTGACTCCAGGTGGGCGCATGGCATAGACCTTGTGGGAGTAACAGGTGAATATAATACTTTGGGGTGCTGGGGGAAGAGAGTTAACTTAAAGATGAACTCCAGACAAACCTAGAACTTGCTCCGTACGTCACAACTTATTCCTTTGATGTTGGGGCAACATTAAATTTTTTTTTTCCCCTCATTAGAGGAGCAGTGTTATTGCCCTAGGACAGGAAATGTGTTAGGATTACAGAACATCTCCACAACATGGAGGGGTGGTATCTCTGATAACAGTTTGGCATTTTCAGTGCACAAAAGGAAGATATGAGCATACTGGATTTTCCGGCAGGTCAAAACATGGGGAATTGTACATGTTGAGAGGTACTGAACGTTTTTGGGAGTTTTATGCCAATACATACAGATTACAATTTTATACTTATGTGAAAGAAAAAAGTTTTTCTGTCAAAACAAACCAGAGAACTAAATTAGAAAACTGACAGATGTGACAATCACATTAGAAATGCTAAGCACCCCTGTAAACTTACTTGTCTTTCTCCTTTCCGGCAGTAAATATTGGGTGCAGCAACACACCGCCTGTCTTCAGTTCATAGACTACAATTGTATCCAGCTCCTGGGAAAACACATGAAAGACAACTCATCAGTCATGAGAACTCTAATTAGACTCATCTTGTTCTATTCATTTATAGACCACAAGCCCCAAGGGTGGGAAAGCGTGTCTGCATTGCATACTGGTAAACTGGGCAACACATTCACAGAAATAAAGATTCTCACTTCTTTGATCCAGTGCCGGTACTGATTTACACCAAATGTCTTCTTCATCCACAGCCCGTAAATATAACCAGAGATGCCCTTCAAGACCCACTCATCAGACCTGGGAATACAAGGAACGACTTTAAACACCAACATTAGACTTCATTCCTTCAGGTGAAGGACCTTGCTCTGCAGTGACATGTTTTAGGTGTCACCCCCTGAAATGTTTCATAAAAGTGCAAAAAAAAAAACCCCAAAAAACTGGGAGGGGTTGTAGTAGTTTGATACTACACTTAACCCCCCTTTCCCCAGCTTCCTCTTGCAGCACCTAGGAAAGGGTGAAGTCATCATTCTTGTGGACAGATTAGAGAATTCTGAGTAGCCCAAATCTTGCGAGAAGACACTCTTGTACTGTGCTGCTGTGTCTTCTTCTGCATTTAGGCTACTCAGCAATCCAAGGGATCTTGTCAGCAGGAGGATGACATTACTCCCAGCACTATGGAAAATGAAGAATGGTGGCATATTACCTATTTTTCCTGAAAAAAAAAAAAAAAATTGAACTATAGACAGATAAAAAAAAAAAAATTTTTAAAAAAAATTAAAAAAAAGGAAATATCACACCATGCATTCATTTTATGTCTTTTTTTTTTTTTCTTAAATAGTGAGCAGAGCGAGTACCTGAATTTGACCTGACCTGTTCTTGCAATCCTCTCAGAGCAGCGCAGGCTGTAGATAGGCACAGAGCTGGATCAAGATAAGGACTCAGCAAGTATATAGAGAGCTGATGGCGGCGATACACTTACGGATATATTTTTACCTTAATGCAGGGAAAGCATTAAAAGGTAGAAATTGTCTTGCCTTTAGAACCACTTTAAGGGTCCATATACACTGTACTTAATAAAAAAAAACAAAAAAACAAAACATTTACCTTGCCAGAAAGCATTCTATAAAAACGCTCATATTTGGCGTTTTTGTGCTGGTCTTTAGCAACATTTAGGAGCATTAGTGTTTATAAGCTTTTTTACAACAAAACATCATGAAAGAAAAAAGAAAAAAAAAAAAAAAAAAAAAAAAAAAAAAAAAAAAAAAGCTGGCCATTTAGCATTTTTTTCCCACTAGAAAAATGCTCTCAAAAACCCAAACCAGGAGGGTTTTTTTTTCCCTGCCTCTTAACACCGAGCTTACAAAACACCTCTGGAGTATCTTAATAAGAGATGGAGATCTAAAATGCAAAATTACATACTGCCTTGGGAAAAAAAAAAAAAAAAAAAAAAAAAAAAAAAAAACTCTAACTAAAAGGCAAAAGTAGGACAAAGCAATATGGAAGCACACTGGCTAAGTGGTTAGCATTTCTGCCTGGCAGCACTAGGGTCATTGGTTCGCTTCCCAACCACAGCACTACATACACAGAGTTTGCATGTTCTCCCTGTGCGAGTTTTCTCCGGGTACTTCAGTTACACCTAACACTTCAAAAGACATGCTGGTAGGTTAATTGGTTCCGGTCTAAAATTAGCCCATGTATGTATGCGAGTTAAAGATTTTAGATTGTAAGCTCCTTGAGGACAGGGACCCATGTGAATGTAAAACATGTGTGTAAAGAGTTCTGTAAATTGATGGTGCTATACAAAAGTACCTGGAATAATAATAATAGTGCCAGGTAATGAATCCTGAGCTCAGTCACAAAAAAATTGATGTAGCGCAAAATGAGGGCAACAACATTTGGCCCAGAGTAGACAGTCTTTCCATAAAGGCAGCCAAACTCACCAGGACATCCTAGAAATGAAGCAGCCAAAGAACTGCTGTGCAAGAGCCTGAGCAAGACACCTTCTTGTTAGTGGGGTTTGGTCAATAATCATAGCGCTGTGCAGGAGGTTTGTGCTGGTAAGAAAAAAAAAAAAAAAAAAAAAAAAAAATGGATTACAAGTCAAAATTTTTTTTTTTTAAACTTATAACGAATATTTAAATACTTTAATGTTCATAGTCTGAACACAGGGTTATCATCTTTTTTGTAAGTTCAAACATTTTGATAAAAAAATATGTTCATCATAAGTATGTGTAGCATAGCAATGTCAAATGCTACAAGCAAGTTAGAACATTATAGCTATATAGCTTATAGCTGGTGGTATGCAGCAGATACGTTTTGTATTCATATATGATACAAAGAAAAGAGAGAGAAAAAAACAAATACATTTTCTGAAGACAATTCTTTATTATAGGAAGACATTTTGTGGCTAAATGATACATTTTATTGGCTAACTTAAAGTAGAATTTCACTCAAAAAAAGTCCTGCTGGTTTGTTTCCTTCCTCTAGCCCGTAACCTAGTTGCAGGTTTGTTCTTCCAAGTTATTACAAGCTTTTGGCACAACTTAGCTCTGTGTCGGGCTTTTTGCATATCTTACAATCAGGATATTTACTTTCCCATGCAATGTATTCTTCAGAACAAATCAAAAACGGAGTACCGCCAAGTGCCATCTGCATGGTTTTGTACCTGTAACAGCACTTTCTCAGGAGCAGGAAGAAGTAAAAGTCACCAAAGTACAAGCTTGTACTCATACCTTCATTTTATAAAGCGCAAACTGTTGGCGCTATATAAATCCTGTATTAGAATAACAATAATGCCTTGGTCCTGATGGAGTAATATTACAGGAAAAAAAAAAAAAAAAAAAACAGTTTGGAAGATCTCAGCAACGTTTTACTCTATGTCACTCTGCTTTGAAAAAAACATGTATTAAGGAGAAGACACCTAGAGATGTGAATAGATTGGCAAGTTCGCTCCATGTAATAAGTGGGACCCGCAATTATTTATTTATTTTATTTTTTTTTTGAGATTACACTCCAGACAACAAAATGTATTTCTACAGCTGGCCACAGGCATTTCAAATCTGGGCCAGTTCAGCAGCAACCGTCCCAGATTCAAACCATGTATAGGTAGGCTCAATGTACCCAAATTGATCGATCACCTTGGGTACAATCAGCCTGCTGGATTTTACATGCAATTATTGCTAGCAGCTGTTTTAACCACTCCTTCTTAGAACACAATGGCTCTGTGGGAGAGGTCCCCCTGTCAAACACTATCAGTTACGTGGCTGCAGGAAAGAAATTCAACTAAAGCAGGCCATACATTATACAAATTTTTTTTTCAATTTCCTTTAGATTTACTTTCAACTATGTAGTGCGAGGACCTGCCTGCATACAAATTGAAAGGGTTTAGGTTTGGCCTCATATTATATGGCTTTGGTAAATTTTAAAGGAAATTTGTACAATGTATGGCCAGCCTAAAATTTGTAACCCACACTCTCTCTGGTGGTGGATCAAAAGGTCATTGCTGAAGAGGCCTGCAGTGCTGCCATACAATTGTCTGGCTTTATCTGACCACTAATGCTACCCTTCAATAAAGACTATGGGATCAATGCTTTTACCAGCTGAAGACTGCAAGGTTATTTTAAGTGATTGTCAGCTGCAAGTATAGTTTATAAAGGTTACTAAAGGGCTATTGCCACAAGAGCTTTCGGTTATCAGTGTCAAATAAGTTTGCTGTACTCTATAGTAATAAATGCCAATATGTGAAAACTTTACAATATGCCAGGAGTGCCATCTACAGGACAGAAAAGACATTACTTGACTTACCAAAAAAGTGGACAATTGTGTAGAATACTAGGCAAGAAGAAGAAAAAAAAACCCATGAGGTTATTCCTACATCTGCAAACTATACCCTCCTGCACAGACCAAGAGTGCACAGCAATACCCAGCAGTAGAAGAGACAACAGAGTAGAAAAACAACTGCTAACAAAACCAGAGGCAATGGCCATGGTTCAACAAACCAAAACAGATAAGCAGAATCTGCTGAGAAATTGAGAGATCCTAATCAAGAAAGGTTATTTTGGGGACAGCAAAATTCTGGAAAACATTGCAAGTTAGTCTCTAAAATACCAGAAGTGTTCCAAAGCCAAAATCCTTCCAGGCCAAGTCACACAGTCAAGGCCAATACCTACAACTAAAACTGTCCTAGGCTACAGCAGTGACATCAGTGCAGTGAAACTATGACAGAGGACAAAGTGAGAAAAACAAAAAACACACCAAAATCTTGATTCTTTCTCCACAATGATAAGACCCTAATTATACCCAAGAACAGGGGTGCAAAGATAAAAACGTGAAATACAAATAACATGACTGAATATTACCACCAGATGCTGCTTTTAAATTGAACTGCAGCCTTACCTTTAGTCTTGCACAGTTGCAAAGGCTGCTCTTCTGTACTGAAACTACTTACTCCAATTTCACTGTACACTGAGAGCGCCCTAGAGTTTGAAGCTGCGGCAAATCAGATGGAGCCCATCTAATTTCCTGGGTGAAGGGCATCCCACATCATCTAGCCCTTTCATCCCAAGCCCTACTGCCCCTGTCTCTTTTCTTTATTAGGATTTCAGTTATTTTAATCAAGAAGGCTCAGAAAACACATTACCTAGGCTAATCTGCATTCAAATGCAGACCAAGAACGATGGCTCCACTTGACTAAAATCCACCCAAAGTGTTTGGACATTTGCATAACTCCTCCCAAGAACCAACCTACTGCTTGTATCATGTCTGTGTGCTTTTGTGAGGAATATTGAGGCAGGGTGCTGTAAGGTTTTCAGGAAACTCTACACAGCAGCCCATTGGCCCCTCCTTCCAGCTCTGATCTTACAGAGTAGCACAGAGATCCAATGATGATATCAATAGGGTTAAAACATATGTGTGATGGATTTAGTTGTTGGTCAAGGGGGCACACTGGACACCTTAGCTGCCATTGTGCTACATGCTGGGTGTCCAGTGCGCTCCTGTACCTTTAAGGAGGAGTGGGCAACCTCAGGTCCATCTGCCCTTGGTCTATCCATTAAAGACATGTGCCTATACCAGGGGTCTGCAACCTTTAAGACATAAAGAGCCACTTGGACCCATTTCCGAGAGGGAAAAAAAGACTGGGAGCTGCAAAACCATTGCAACATTTAAAACAAATCCGACACTGCATATATTGCAAAAAGCGCTCTGGTCATGAAGGGGGTTAAGGGCCCAGTAAGCAAAGGGTTAATCAGGGCCACAGTGTATAGTCATAATCACAATCATAGCCTTAGGTCAGTGGTGGGCAACCTCTTTTTTCAACTGAGCCAAATCTCGCCAAAACCATGATTGAAATTTATTTTGAGAGCCACATTTTTGAAAAAACTGAAAATACATCCCCCACATAGTAATTCATCCCCCATATAGTAATTCATCCCCCACATAGTAATTCATCCCCCACATAGTAATTCATCCCCCCATAGTAATTCATATAGTAATGCATCCCCCTATTAAGTCCCCAAGTCCCCCCTGTGTCAATTCACTTACCTTTGCTCCGCGCGTTCCTCTCGCCGTGTTCCCGCGCCGTTCCAGTGTAGCATGAAAATCTGTCTCCTATGAGGATCTGTCCCCCTCGACGTATCTGCGCATGTGCCAGTTTCAGGCATTAGCAGCCGATCGGTGATCTCCGGCACATGCGCAGATACGTCGAGGGGGACAGATCCTCATAGGAGACAGATTTTCATGCTACACCGGTCTTCAGGGCGGACTGTGAGAGGAGCCTAGCGGGAGCCTAGCTCCGCGGGCCAGATTAAAAGGTCCGCTGGGCCGTAGTTTGCCCATTGCTGCCCTATTGCCTGTCACCTGGTGGGCAGTGTGCTCCGGAGCCGCAGCCAAGGTGAAAAAGAGCCGCGGGTTGCCGACACCCGGCCTATACTATGGGGGCTCTTAAAATTGGAGAGTTAGGAACTACAGAATATTGGGGTGTCCCGTGACGAGGCTCTGTGGCTTACGCATGTATTTGCAAATGTGTGCCAACTAAACCCCTGTTTTTAACATATACTGTTAGACAGGTTGATTCGGTTTGTTTGCAGGCTGTCAAGTTAGAGCTGGGAATTTTTCTTTTTTGTTGTTTGACATGCGTCGCCCTTCCATGTGCTCCTTGCTGTGAAGGCCAGTTATAGACTGGGGCAGTGGCCATTTTTTGTAGTGTGCCGGATGGTGCCTGGGCACACTCTAATCAGCTCGCTCGCATTAGAAAGATCACCTCCTGAATAGCAGAGTGCCTCAAGGAAGATTGTGATTGTATGTATGTATGTATGTATGTATGTATATATATATATATACATACATACATACTCTTGTATTTTTCGCTCCATAAAGACACCTAGGTTTTAAAGGCAGAAAACAGGAAAAAAAAATTCTGAACTAATGGACTGCGGACACAATACAGGAGATGACCAGAGACTGCGGACACAGTACAGGAGATGACCAGAGACTGCGGACACAGTACAGGAGATGACCAGAGACTGCGGACACAGTACAGGAGATGACCAGAGACTGCGGACACAGTACAGGAGATGACCAGAGACTGCGGACACAGTACAGGAGATGACCAGAGACTGCGGACACAGTACAGGAGATGACCAGAGACTGCGGACACAGTACAGGAGATGACCAGAGACTGCGGACACAGTACAGGAGATGACCAGAGACTGCGGACACAGTACAGGAGATGACCAGAGACTGCGGACACAGTACAGGAGATGACCAGAGACTGCGGACACAGTACAGGAGATGACCAGAGACTGCGGACAGTACAGGAGATGACTGCTGACCTTTGGGGAGGGGGGGGAGCGGGTTCCTGAATTTGACAGGTACCCGCTCTTACTTCCGCAGAGTTGTTCTTTGATCTTACCTGTTCCTCTATCCAGCTGCACGCTGTCTACCTGGCTTCTGTAGTGTGGGCGCTCGGTGGACAGCCGGATGCCCAGTGCGCATGAGTGAGAAGCGCTGCACTTTGTGATTGGTCCAACGGCTTCTGGGATCTGTCATGTGTCCCAGGTACCGCCTTACCATTCACAAAGAGCACCGCTTCTTGCGCATGCGCACTTGGCACCCGGCTGTCAAGCACACAACAGAAGCCGGGAAGACAGCGCGCCGCTGGATAGAGGCACAGGTAAGGTCCCACTGCAGAGTTGAGTGGCCGGCCCGGTATTCTGACACGGCGGCGGTGGAAATACCAGACCGGCCGCTCCATAAGACGCACTGACATTCTCCCCCCTTTTTTTGGGGGGAAAAAAAGTGCGTCTTATGGAGCGAAAAATATGGTATATATATATATATATATATATATATCATCTATCTCTGAAATAGTCTAAAATAATGTATGTAATGACAATGGAAAGGTTTTATTCAATTCTATTAGCGTGATGAGGGGGCAAAAGAAAAAACAGGAAAAGCAGATTAAACCAGCTTTAATAAAACTACATGAAGTAGGGTATAAGTATGGATTTCACTTACCTAAAGATACTCATAGATGCATAGGCTGTAACTTCCATGTAAGCTTCATCGACAAACACTGTCTTGAAGCAGGAATAAGGGTAGCGGCAAGTGAGAATCTCCTCATAAAACTCAAACACCTCATGGAGGTAGGAGGTTGTGTGCTTCAGAAGGGGTAGCAACTGAGGCAGGCAAAAGTGAGTCACCTAAAAAAAGGAAGTTACAATAGAGAAGTCAATGCAGAGATCAAGACAGTACAAGAGCTGTGTTACCCCCACCTTGATTCACAGCACAATCATCCACTGAAAAAGATACCTGGATTCATGTAATTATGATAAAATCCTTTTCTTGGAGTACATTGAAGGACACAGGAAGTCTTTTGCCTTCAGGTTATACTGCCATCTGCCAGGAGGATGGGTCATTTGCTAACAAAAAGAAAAAAACATAGGCCGGCCCTGGAAAACACATCCCACCACCAGAATACCTAAGTTTAGTACCAAGCAGTTCTGAGAGGAGAACATGATCAAAACACAGAGGGAAGGAACCTGCATCCCTCAACAGACTCCAAGAAAAAGATTTTAGGGTAAGCACAAAGGATCCTATTTTCTCTCATATCCATGAAGGGACACAAGAAGTCTTTCACCTTCGGGACATCCAAAAGCTGTCCAACAGAGTAGTGGGCAAGACAGAAAACAAACTTTAAAAGACCCAACATAATCAATAGAGAAAAAAAAAAAAAAAAAAAAAAAAAAAAAAAAAAAAAACCATAACTGAGAACTGTCCACAGCTCAAAAGCCGCCCAAAGAAAATGATGCCCAAAGTTGGCATCAGATGAGGCTGAATGGCAGACTGTAGACTGAATGGCAGCCTTGCATAGGAAAACTATACCGATGCCAGAAAGATCTAGAAAACACTCACACAGACAGTGAAGTATTTCTTTATACGTTTTGAAAAGGATGAAACCTATCTTTAGACCATAAGATTGAAAGCTGTATTATCTGAACCACTCAGGATGGTGCAACAAGAAACTGAATCACCCAACAAGGTACATTCAGGATTACCAAAAAGGAATCCGTGGCTGAGAGATAGATTCACATCCTGCACAGCAGGCAAACAAGGAAGAGAAGCACCTCTCCGAGAACTGGAGACAGACATAATAACTGAAGTCAGTGGATGGCATCAGTGCTCAGTTCCTTAGCGTTAACCCCTCCACTGTAAGAACTGGTGGATAGCAGAAATTTTAAAAGGTGTCCCCATGATCTGAGTGAAAAAGAGGTATCTCCGAGGGCTGAGCCCTGATCGGCATACTCAATCCTCAGAGACGGGGCAAGCGTTGAAGCAATGCCACAATCTGGACTTGGAAAGCTCTTTCTGGCTAACTTGTTACCAGAACAGGGTCTAGAAAGCGCCACAGAACCCAGTGCCTTTAGATCATTAACAGGCTGGCCCCACAATGTCCAGTCCTGCAGGATCTGGAACTAGGCACTCAAAAAGCCAAAAGCTGAGGATGGCTCCGACAGATAACAGCAGCAAAATGACCCACTCTAGTAATGATGTAGAGAAGACTTTTCATTGAAGCTAAAATGTTTAAAAAAGAAATAATATGCTAGCAACGTTAGATTAGAGTTTTCTGAGCAGAAGCTGATAGTGGGAGGGGTTATCCTACAGTTTTTTGCTTGTAGTGTTCAGTCCTCTTAAAAGTGGCAGTATAACCCTAATGTCAAAGGTTTACTTTGTCCCTCACAATGGACGAGAAAGAAAAAAAAAAAAAAAGTTTATTAAATCAAGCAAACCTTTTGTGAGCTACAACTCAGAAACTCTCACTCACAAGTGACAGAGGGTAGAAAGGGCAACATACCAAGCAAAACATGGATTATGGCATGCTGGAGTACAGGTGCATTCCCTGCTTCTGCAACAGTGGGTTGAAGTGCCAGTCAAAAAAAAAAAAAAAGGAATAGCAGCCAATTGAAATGCTGTTTATGCATTACAACATACAGTAAATTGCCCTTTTTGCCTGACATTAAAAGCCCAATTCCACTTAGAGGAAATGTGTTAAACAACTGCAGGCCTACATGGTTTTAAAGCACAATAATATTTTATCAACAGATCAAGTAGAATATTCATACCTCATGCATGTAAGGATCCACTAGAATCTCAAAAGGTCCAACAGCCAGAGAAATGTTAGGAGATGCAGTTGGAATGGCGAGGGTGTAGTGGAAGGTCTTCTTTCTCATGTCGGGGGTGTAAACGGTTTCCACGAGATCACCATTGGACACAGCCACCATGGCGGCATCAACTGTGAACTCCATCTTCCATGTGCATAGCTCTGAATAGGAGTCCACACACGGGAACCAAAACCTAACAGCAAAAGAACACAGTGCTCAGATTTCAACCCAGAAGACCGGCAGCAGTGCAGACTTTTTGGAAGTCATCAGCAGAGCAGACTATCTTCAGGGGGACAGCTCTAGAGAGAACGTGACTATTGCATTGTAAACTGTATTTTTTATTTTTACACTATGGGGCAATTTATTTGTAATTCATTTGTAAAAATGGAGTTTTGCTTTAAAATAAATTGAATGTAAAGCCAGCCAATAGGACCATGGCTTACCTGGTTGAATTCTGGTATCCATAGGAAAAGACATGAGCCCCTCTCTCTGCCATACTGCCCTCCACATTGGGAACAACAAAATGAAGGCCACCTTTTGGCTGGTCCAGTGAGAACTCAATGTAAACCTTCAATACTTTTAACTCTGCAGAAACCAAAAAGGAATACACAAGCAATAAATATAAATAAAAATTGTCACAAGCATAATAGAACAGTGAACTAGTCGCATTTTAGATTACCATCAACATGTTTCCACAGTTCTGATGGTACTTTTATGCAGAGTTCACCATTTCCAGCATCCGGGTCAACTGCACTGACAGCTGCTGCGTAGGCATTGGAAAAATAATTCAGATTTCGTCTAAGAGAAAAGTAAGCAGTCAAAATTAGATTTAAAAAGTAAAAAAATATTTTTAAATTCTTTATTCATATAGCGCTAATCATGTTTTGCAGAGTGCACAAACCAGTTACATCATCCCTTAGTTGTAATATCACAGACACAAAATGTAGACGACAGGTAATCTACTGCTATATTTTCGAATTGTGGAAGAACACTGAACAGGCTGAGGAATCCCAAGGAAATATGGAATGAGAATACAAACTCCAAATAGACAGGATTTCTCGGTCTACGTTCACACTGATGTGGTGCAGAATTCAGAGAGATTCCTGTGATCTCCCACACCACAATCGCATTGTGTTCATGCAATCTGCTGCGGGTGCCAATGTTAAGTTAACACTCCAAAAACAAGTTGCAGTGTGATTGCCTGAACAGTATCGCATGGGTGTGAACACCAAATGAAAACAGAGAGAAAAAGCTTAAGAAAACTAAAGCAGCCACCACATCTAATGATCGGTAAGCAGCAATATATTACATTTTTGGTTTAAGCTCCTTATATACATACACAGATGGCATTCTAAAAGAAACAGGTATTATTGAAGCTGAGCATTCATTCAGGCAAGATCATTCATATGAAGGACATTAGCAGATAACAGTCAAAAGTTAGGATGATTTTTTTAAAATTGTATTCATTGGGCCACTTTAATTTTCCGAACAACATCACGTCTATTGTTTTATCAGAAGATGACTGCAGGCAGTACACACTTTCTGTTCCTGGCTGCATTGTCCCAAAATTATCTTGTTCCGTCACATGTCTTTTGAAAATATGTTATATTATCAGCCGAGAAGACAGTTACTGTTTATGAAAAATAAGTTCCAAGTCTAGCGAGCAGAATCTTATGTCTATGGGTGGCTGTACACCATCTGTAATCAGTAATCCAACATCCTTTGCGGAGTATCTGGCTCCCTCCAAACTTTCCAAGCATCAGGGTCCGCCAACATTTCATGCCAGCAGCAGAGTAATTATTAAAGAAGTCAGAACACTGATAGTGTGGGCACTGACACAGCTTTAGTGTGCTGCTGCTGGCAGGAAGACATGGTCTTGGCGTCGTCACTGTACCCTCAATCCTTCTATAAATGGAGGGATTATTGATGGAAGTGTTTTGGTAAATTTGTTATGGAACCCAGAAGGCTGGTGTAAATCCAACAAAGTGAGCACATTATAAATTACTTCTCAGAAAAAAAGGTCACACTCATTAAATACAATCTCAAATTTACTGGTTTTAAAAAGGGAACCAATCATGTTAACAAAATAATCTTAGTTATATGAACAGACATGCAATCTGGTTTTAGTCTTACAAGCACACAGTTCCTTTTTCTACTGTGCTTTCAGATTTGGGACATTGATATAAAGTAAGAATAATCAAGCCCCAAGTGTCAGGAAGATAGGGGAGGGAAGCTTCAAATATTTCTGCTAATAGAGTTAGAAGAACAGTATGCTTCTGCACAGAGATCTATATAATATCAAACCCTCTAGATCCTTGATGCCAAACCTACAGCCCTCTTGAGGCACTGACGACAACATAAAACCAGGATGTTCTCTCTATGTAGTTTGAGGATATTTAAAAATGGCAGCTCCAGAATATAAAATGAGAGGATGGATGCCACTCTAAGCTGTCCCTCTAGTCCGGTGTGAGTGGAGTGGCCACTCCACTCACACCGGATTCCAGGGACAGGGTAGAGCAGCATCCATCCTCTCATCTAGTACAGTGTCTGGAATGACTCACAGATTCTGCTCCCACTACCCCCTTCCCCATCAGCAGGATGATTTCTTCTTTGGCTTTCTGGCTTGGAGTGGCGTCACAAGTCCTTACATGTGGTATGAGCTCCAGAATACAATTTACACAGAGAAGGCAAACAAAGTCAACACCTGACTAGGGGCTCCATTCACAAAGCGGTATCTACTACTATATGACATAGGGAAAAATACCACTTAGCATTCAAAAAGTGGTATGCTGTATTTTTCTGACATATGCTGTATTTATCTCATGAAACCATGCGGTAATTTATCTTATGCCATATCCAGTGGGATGGATACAGTGGAGAAGAACTGTAACCTCTCTCAGATTTTATTGCTAATAAAGAGGTTAAATTGTTTAAAAACTGTAGAAAATATGCCAACTTACTAAGTCAATATGGTCCCTTGTAACATATGTATTATTAAAAAAGAAAAAAGGAAAAAATAAGTAAATACATATCTTTATAAAATGTCAAAATATTGAATGAAAATAGTATTTTCCTTTAGTTTTGCTTTCACTTTTCTCAACCTTTTCAACACAGAGGAACAATAGAAATAACTTTCCGGTCTCAGGAAACCCCTGATAAAAATGACTATCTACAATTCATGATATGTCTGAATTACCCCCTTATAGCTAAAAGTTCAATGATATCAGTGGAAAGATAGCTCTAAAAAGAATTGAAAAAAGTAAAGTATCCCAACTACATATGACATATGTTCTAACAATGGATTGGAACACTGTGATATGCATGTATATTATACTATGTTTGGAGTGATTTGGAGTCTTTTTGCAGCAAATGGTGTATATGCTTGTATATACACAAAAGTCTATGAAAATCTGGCAACTTGACAGGAAAGAAAATAAGTATATTTTACTACATGTAATGGAGTGGATTTACTAAAAGCACATACATGGAGCACTTTGCAAGCTAAGTTGCTCCAGAGCTTAGTAAGAAGGGAAAGCTCTGCTGTCTTCCATTATCCAATCATGTGCAAACATATATGCTGCTTTTTTCTTTGCATGTGATTTATAAAGCAAATCTTTACCTCATGTACTAAGCTTTGGTGCAACTTGCAAAGTGTACAACATATTTGCTCTAAAAGTAGAACTATAGGCAAAACATTTTTTCCATTTTGGATAGAGTAAGAGAGGATTATAACCCCTATAAAGTTTTTTTTTTTTTTTTTTTTTGCCATCTGTGTCCCATTTGGGAGATTTACCTTCACTTCCTGTCCCATAGTCAAACAGGAAGGGAGAGAAAATCCCTGCAAATTAAAGGAATTCTTTGCGGATCCCCAGTTCACAAAACTACTACTGCCCCCATTGGAAGATTTCCCCTCTGTTACGGTTCTGGGGACAACCCAAAATGTACGATTTTCTTTTAATTTCACTTCAAGGATCATGGTAAACAGGACAGATAGAAAAGGGAGAATCTCCCAAACGGGGGCATAAACAGCAATAAAAACCCGACAGGTGTTCTAATCCACTTCCACTCAATCCAAAACTAAATGTTTTTTCCTTAGTCATACTTTTAAGTAAATCAACCCTAATAATTTCCACATTTTCATATTCAGGTTTCTTTGCATTACTCGAGAGAACTGATCCAAAAAAGGAGTAGACCACTGAAAATTGGGTATTATATTTTTACATTCCTTAAATACTGCCTGCTTGGACCACTACTTAATTACTGAATGCATTTAAATTACTTATTTATTTCTGTGAATTGACTTGAACTTCTTTTTATGCGGTATTTACTGAGCAGTTTGCGGTAAATACCGCAAAACGGTATAGTGAATCGCATGCGATATTTAGATAAGTGTGTCCAGAAACCTAAATACTGCATGTGAACTGCTTTGAATAGAGCCTAGTTTTACGAATAGCAAGTTGTTTTAACTAGATGTCAGCCCTAATCAAGTGATATTTTGTTTGCTAAAGAACTATCATACAATCTTCAGAAACTGCAGAGCAAATCCCCCCTTGTTATAAAGATGAGGAGGGGGGGGGGGGGGGGGGGGGTTATTTCTAACAAACTTCCAGGCCTAGGTCACAATGATGCTCTTCCATGAATACAGTACAGTAACCAAGCATTGTTACTCTAAGACAGGAAGTGTGTTACTGGAAGGATCACAAAGTGAAAAAAAAAAAAAGGTTTGGGAAACAAAAAAAAAAAAAAAAAAAAAAAAACACAAACTAAAAAAGCAGCCACCACTTCTAAGGACTGGTAAGCTGTAGTATACAGTATTGCATTTCAGTTATTGGTTTAGGTGCACTTTAAAGAGGACGTCCATGCCAGAAATTAAAACATCTACTTCCTTGTTCCTCCCTCTTACATATTTGCAGACAGCTTCCTGTTTGTCATGGCACACACCTTTTTTTTTTATGTAGCCCAACACTTTGATTCTTTGCCTAGGGGAGGATGACAAAGTACTGGACTCTCCCTTTCCCCACTGCCTCCTGGGATGTCCATGTCACACCTCTCAGGAGGCAGTGCTGGATGAAGTATGGTACAATTTGGATGCCAAATTGTGAGACACTTACATTATAGATCAATGCACATGTTTACTGGCACACCAAGGATCATCACGTATCGTCTACAGCTTTTGTAGTAGAAAGATCACATCACAAAAGACCAAGTGCAATACTTTGGAGCTGCACAGGATCTCTTCATCAGGCAAGCGTGGATCCTGTGTGGCTCTGAATCATTGCACTTGGTCCTTTGTGATGTAATTGTTCTGCTATAAAAGCTTGAGACGATACTTGATGATCCTTGGTGTGCCAGTAAATATGTGCATTGATCTATAATGTAAGTGTCTCACAATTTGGGATCCAAATTGTGCCATACTTCATCCAACACTGCCTCCTGAGAGATCCGTGGCATGCTGTCAAATATGTGCATTGATCGATGTCTCTAGCTGGAAGTTGCTACAGCACCTGCTAATTTTGAGCCCATTCCAGGAATGTGTGCAATAGGAATATTGACACCAAGCCCACACGGCACATAAGGCATTTGTCTGGCGGTCCAAGGCTGCCTGGATAGGAGGGGCAGCATACAGAGGAACCGATCTGTCCATTTCCCTCCTGCCACCACTGAATGCCTGCTTCTCCTTCTCTCCCTCCTGCTAGCATTCAGTGGCTGCAGGAAAATAAATGGATGGATCAGTTCCCATATCTGCCACTTCTCCTATCCATCTTCTTTCTGCTGCCCCCAGGCCCTTGTCCTCTCTCCTGGTCTCCCTGTGCTTTCCCCTGGGCCCATGTGTGCTCTCTCCCAGACCACCTTGCTGCAGCGCTGCTGGGTTTCCCCCTCCCCTCCCCTACTAGCTGCTGCGGGAATATGTCAGGATTGAAAGCGGGGAAGGGACTGGTAAATATGTCATTTAGCAGCCCCTTCCTTGTCTGATGGACCGTTAGTGATCAGTACTGATCACTGACTTTGTCCATTTATAACTGAGGCATAGTGAAAGGTGTTTACTATACTTCAGTTTATGAATGAATGAGAAGCTCTTTACAGAGCTATTCCTGTCCATGCATTCTGTGCTGCTGAGGCTGCAGAAAAGGAGAATCTCACGAAATCCCCCCTCAACGGGGCTCCTAAAAAAAAAAAAAAAAAAAAAAAAAAAAAAAAAAAAAAAAAATAATAAAAAAAAAAAAAAAAAAAAACTACTGACACCAGTGGTGGAAGTACCAGGGACGCAAAGGTCGCACTTGCGACCAGGCCCTGGTGTTCCGCCACTGGGCTCCAAGGTAAGAGCCCCAGGGCTTGGGGCTGCTCAGTCTAAAATGCCCAGGCCTATTTTTTGTCCCAGTCTGGGCCTAATTGACACTAACTTAATACACTTATTAGAGAGGACAGTATTTATCTTTGCATAGGTAAGGTGAACTTTCAATAAAGTTTTCTGACCACTTTAAATGGTCCAGTCTTCCTTGCACAGTAAAGCCAGAACATGCAGCATTCAGATGCACGAGAAGAGAAAATTGTTGCACTCACTGTTTGGACTCGTGGTGACAGACTTCCAGTGTGGGGTCGTTGTATATGAATGCTGCCTCCAGCTCATTCACTTTCACTCGGTATATTCTGCACTGTTTACTGTTCAGCTTGATTCTGTTCAGATTGGCCACCGTAGGGAATATTGTTAACTCCACATATCCCTGAGGAAAGACACACAGGCAATTATTAACATTTACTACATCCATTGCAGGCTTTGATCACTTAGGCCAAACTCACACACACCCCCTATCACCTCATACAGGATAACGGAGGCAAGGCCACGATATGAGAGGTAAATGGATACTACTGAAACTTAAGGAAGAAATCCAGTCAGGACTAAAATCATCAGTAAAGGAACAATAGACATAGGTGGGGAAATGACTAAACAGGAGAAAAAAAAAAGTTTCATTCCCATCACAGGACCACACACACTACACAACATTACAAATGAATTAAAGGATAAATTCACCTTCAGAACATGCAACATGTTCCAGTGCCTGCCTTCTCTCAACCTGATCCCCCCCCCCCCCCCCCTCCCTGTGACAGCAGGTAGGGATCCTCTTCCCCGCTGTCAGAATTTATAAACAAAGAGACCATGCCCACATGACCGCTTCATGGATTTTCTGAGTCCTTTGAATTAATGATATACAAGCTTGCAGTCCTCAATGAATTACAAGAGCGCTTACCAGTGCCCATGCAGTTCATTGAGAACTGCAAGCCATCGGAATTCTTCCTGCAATTCAGTAACTGCCTGCCCATAGGAGGTACAGGCAGACAGCTGTACTGAGTGTTTGCAGGATCCTGACATTGACCCTGCAATCCGAGGATTATGGGTGAAATTCCTTAGAGGCTGCAGGGTAAAAAAAAAAATAAATGCACATTTTGATTACCTGCAAAAAAGCTGTGCATTTTTTCCTTTATATATATATATATATATATATATATATATATATTAAACTTATCTCCTCAAAAAAAAAAAAAAATTATGTATGCCAGAAAAACTTTGCCAGGTTTTTACTTTTATGTGGTTCCCCATCACTGACTCCCGATAGAATTTTTTTTTTTTTTTTTTTTAGAGAGGAAGTGGGAAAAAATCTCTAGGACAAAAAAAAAAAAAAAAAAACACCAATTTTTTTTTTTTTTTTTTTTTTTTTTTTTTAAGTAGAGTAGAAAAAGACTAGAACCCTCATCAGATTTGTATTTATGTCTGTTGCAGATTATTTTCTCACTTCCCATTTAGTGAAATCAGCTGTCACCAGGACAGCAAAAGAAAAGCCCCCTAATGTAGGCCCAGATAGCAATAAAATCCTCACAGTGGATCTAACCCTTGTATACGCCATCCAAAATTTGTTCCTTCCCCAACCTTAATATTTAACCCAACTACTCCAATTACGACAACCCCTAACACAAACTCAAAGAACGAAAGACGTGATATATTGCAGCTTACTAGTTTCAGATATGGAGTTGACATTCTTTTTTTTTTTTTCAGGCTTTTTCTCCATTTACTTTTACCTGATGATCCTGCCAGTAACACACTTACTGACTGTTACCAAAGCCGTTTTCACCAGTGAACTATAGAACTCCTTTTCTGTAGGGGGTGATTCTGTAGCCCTAACACACTTTCTCTCTTTCAGTGACAACACTGCTCCTCCATAGATGCAGTACAGTGAATGAGCAATGTGATGCTAAAACAGGAAACGTGTTGCTGGCAGAGACCATAAAGCAGCCACTAAGAACTGACAATGGAAAATAAATATTTTTCTATTGGTTTGTATCAATCAAATCTGTAATATATTGCAGTTTACCAGTTCTTAGATGTGATGCCTGCACATTTAGTTTTTTGTTTGTTTTGCATTTTTAACCAAGTTCTTGCCAAAAATTCCACTGTCCTTGTAACTACCTGAGCATGTTCCCTATATAATGGATATGAGAGGAGTTTATAGTCTAAATAAGGTGAGCAGCCTAGGGTCACTCTAGAACAGGTGGTGTGTTTCTGGCAGGATCAATCAAGGAAAAAAAAAAAAGATAGAAAAAAGGAAAAGAATGCAGACCCCACATCTAAGGACTGGTATGCTGCAATACATTACATTTTTGAGGGGTTAAAAGTTACTTCACCTTTTCAGGAAAAAAAAAAAAAAAAAAAAGGAAAGAAGAACACTGTACTTACACCCACCCCCATTTCCATCCCTATTGGTAATAAGCTGTTGAAGTGCATGCAGTTGCTGTAGCAGTCCAGAGACATAAAATCCACACTTCTACCCACTTTCTTTCTGCAGTGCTCCCTGGACAAAACAGAGTGACCCTCAGTGCCAGCACTGACCAATCAGAATCGTTCTGCTCCTTCCTGGAAGCACTGCAGAAAGAAGGGGGGAGAAGAGCAGGAATTGCTCATCATTGATGGAGGTAAGTACTACGAGGACTGGGGGTGGGAAGGGTGTATGGTGTTAGTTCATCGTTTCTGAAAAGGTGAGCTTACACTTTAAGATGCCTTACCTAAATATAACTAACAACTCTAAACTTCTACAGTGTGTGTGTGTGTGATGTGATCACAAGGTTGTTTACACCATGCATATGCAATGAAAATTAATGTACTCCCATTTCTTTTGCATGTAAACATACCTGGAACACATGTGACTGCAATGCAAACTCGTGTACCTGTGACTGCAATGCAACCTTGTGACACACACACACACACACACACACACACACACACACACACACACACACACACACACACACACACACACACACACACACACACACACACACACACACACACACACACACACACACACACACACAGTTTAGAAGTTTAGAGTTGTTAGTTGATTTTACAATGTCGAAAAAACAAAAGAAAAACATAAAATTCCTAAATTATGCATGTATATATAAAAACTGAACACATGCAAAATGACACCTCAATGCACTTCCAACAAACATGCATTGCAGCGCTACACGGAGCACAACACACTACTGTGTTTTGCTGCAATGGAAAAAAAAGGCGTATGTCTGATTTTTTTTGTCCACTGGCGAGTTGGTCGTATATTTTCTTTACATTTAAATCTAATGACTATGATTTTAGGTTTATAAGGGAAAATCTTTCAAACACCCACCAGTCAGTGGAGAACATTTCATTGTAACAACAAGTATGAAAAGAGCTACTTACAATGACAGATTTCCTCTGAAAATTAATATTGCTGATGCAGACTACCTGGTGAGTCGTGTAGAGAGAAGAAACAAAGTTATTCACACATTACAATATGAGTGCAACATATTATATACAAGGGGAAGGATATACATAGATATTACAGGTATGAGTAGAGTTAAACCTTTAAATAAAATAATAAATGCACATTTCTTGCAGGTAAAAATGTGCATTTATTATTATTTTCTAAAGAGCATTGTACCTGCAATCACAGGAAGATCAATGGACTTCCTGAGCACTCACCAGTGCCCTCATAGTTCATAGAGAACTACAAGCCATCAGCAGCAATGGATGTTGATACTTGTAGGCCCTCATTCGCAGGAAACCCGTGTGGAGCCCTGCACGGCCATGCCATTTTCAAATTACGACAGTGGGTGTGGGAAGAAGATCCCCCATCTGCGGTCACAGGGAGGACGGGATCGGGGGTACCGGGGGTGGGGTTAGAGGCTGCAGATGCTGGAACATGTTCCAAAAGTGAACGTATCCTTTAACAAATACAATGCTCAGACAGGTAAGTATGTATGGAGCATAATATACATATCACATGGTAGGTAGGAATGTATGGTACACATGTGTAAGTGGACTCTATATACAGTGCCTTGAAAAACTATTCATACCCTTTGAAATTTTCCACATTTTGTCATGTTAAAAACCAAAAGGTAAATGTATTTGATTTGATGTGATAGACCAACACAAAGTGGCACAGAATTGTGAAATGGAAGGAAAATGATAAATGGTTTTCAAACTTTTTTACAAAAAAAAATTTGTGAAAAGCTTGGTGTGCATTTGTATTCATCCCCCGGAGTCAATACTTTGTAGAACCACCTTTCACTGCAATTTCAGCTGCAAGTCTTTTTGGGAATGTCTCTACCAGCTTTGCCCATTCTTCTTTGCAAAATAGCTCAAGCTCTGTCAGATTAGATGGAGAGCGCCTGTGAACAGCAATTTTCAAGTCTTGCCACCAATTCTCAGTCGGCTTTAGGTCTGGACTGTGACTGGGCCATTCTAACACATGAATATGCTTTGATCCAAGCCATTCCATTGTAGCTCTGGCTGTATGTTTAGGGTCATTGTCCTGCTGGAAGGTGAACCTCCACCCCAGTCTCAAGTCTTTTGTCCTGTATTTGGCTCCATCCATCTTCCCATCAGCTTCCCTGTGCCTGCTGAAGAAAAGCATCCCCACAACAAAATGCTGCCACCATGTTTCACAGTGGGGATGGTGTGTTCAGGGTGATGTGCAGTGTATGTTTTCCGCCACACACAGCGTTTTGCTTTTAGGCCAAAAAGTCCAATGTTGGTCTCATCTGACCAGAGTGTCTTTTTCCACGTTTGCCGTGTCCCCCACATGGCTTCTCGCAAACTGCAAATAGGACTTCTTATGGCTTTCTTCTTGCCATTCTTCCATAAAGACCAGATTTGTGGAGTGCACGACTAATAGTTGTCCTGTGGACAGATTCTCCCACCTGAGCTGTGGATCTCTGCAGCTCCTCCAGAGTTACCATGGACCTCTTGACTGCTTCTCTGATTAATTCTCTCCTTGCCCGGCCTGTCAGTTTAGGTGGACAGCCATGTCTTGGTAGGTTTGCAGTTGTGCTATACTCTATTTTCAGATGATGGATCGAACAGTGCTCCGTGAGACGTTCAAAGTTTGGGATATTTTTTTATAACCTAACCCTGCTTTAAACTTCTCCACAACTTTATCCCTGCCCTGTCTGGTGTGTTCCTTGGCATTCATGATGCTGTTTGTTCACTAATAATCTCTAACAAACCTCTGAGGGCTTCACAGAACAGCTGTATTTATACTGAGATTAAATTACACACAGGTGGACTCTGTTTACTAATGAGGCGACTTCTGGAGGCAATTGGTTCCACTAGATTTTAGTTAGGGGTATCAGAGTAAAGGGGGCTGAATACAAATGCACGCCACACTTTTCAGTTATTTATTTGTAAAAAATGTTGAAAACCAATCATTTTCATTCCATTTCACCATTATTTGCCAGTTTGTGTTGGTCTATCACATAAAATAAATTTACATTTTGGCTGTAATATGAAAAAAAAAGTGAAAAATTTCAAGGCATTCGAATACTTTTTCAAGGCACTGTACACAGACAGGTAAGCATGCATGTATCAGCAGGTAGGTGTGTGTGTGTATATATATATATATATATATATATATTTATTTATTTTATTACACACACACAAACCTTTATCAGCCATAGCTTTAAGACCACTGACAGGCAAAGTGAATAATATTGATTATCTCATTACAATAGTATCTGAAATTGGGTGGGATAGATCAGGCAGCAAGTAAAAAAAATGTTGTTCATGAAGTTGATTTGTTGAAAGCAGAAAAAATGGGCATTGCAGTTTGTTGTGTAAGGGGCAGGGTAGCTGCAGACCAGTCAGGGTGCCCATGCGGACCCATGGCCACAGCCACAAGTTCCTACAATGGGCATGTGAGCATCAGAACATTAAAAGAAGGAGGCTTGTTCTGCTGAATCACATTTTCTTTTACATCATGTGGATGGCTGGGTGCGTGTGTCACTTACTTGGGGAGGAGATGGCACCAGAATGTAGTATGGGAAGAAGGCAAGCCGGAGGAAGCAGTGTGATGCTTTGGACCATGTACTGCCGAGAAACCTTGGGTCCTGCCGTTCATGTGGATGTTAGCTGACATGTACCACCTACCTAAAACATTGTTGGTGACCAAGTACACACCTTCATGGAAATGGTATTCCTGTTGGCAGTGGCCTCTTTCAACAGAATAATGATCCCCCTGCAATACTACAAAAATGGTTTGATGAACACAACAAGGTTGAGGAGTTGATTTGGCTTCCAAATTCTCCAGATCTCCATCCAATCAATCATCTGTGTGATTTGTTGCAAAAACAAGTCCAATTTTTGGAGGCCCCACCTCACAGGACTTAAAAGATCTGCTACAGACAGCTTGGTGCCAGATACCACAGCAATCCTTCAGAGGTCTAGTGGCATCCCTGCCTTGACGGGTCAGGGCTGTTTTGTTGAAAAAGGGGGACTTAATCAATATTAGGCAAGTGATCATAAAGTTATGGCTGATCGGTATGTGTACATACTGTACATAGACACATATAAGCACACAGTAAACATGTATATGTGGTTCCCATATACACAACTATTCAGACAGTGGACTCTATACAGACATTACAGAGGTAGGTATGTACAGCTGTATTCACATTCAGTGTATATGAAACATGTAAAAAAAGGCATTTTTTGCCATTCAACTCAGAAACGCCCTGCAAATGTATTTCACACTTGGGGTGCCATTCATTGTCAATGGCAACCCAAGCATGGGGAGCAGACGTGCAGGTTTGTTTCATTGTGCTACAATGAGGTATATAGTGTATACAGGGCTACAGAGGGAGGTATATAGTGTATACAGGGCTACAGAGGGAGGTATATAGTGCATGCAGTTAAAGAGAGAGGTATATAGTGTATACAGGTTACAGAGGGAAGTATAGAGTGTATACAGGGCTACAGTGGAAAGTATAGAGTGTATACAGAGTTACAGAGGGAGGTGTATAGAGTGTATACAGGTTACAGAGGGAGGTATAGAGTGTATACAGGGTTACAGAGGGAGGTATATAGTGTATACAGGTTACAGAGGGAGGTATATAGTGTATACAGGTTACAGAGGGAGGTATATAGTGTATACAGGTTACAGAGGGAGGTATATAGTGTATACAGGTTACAGAGGGAGGTATATAGTGTATACAGGTTACAGAGGGAGGTGTATACAGTGTATACAGGTTACAGAGGGAGGTATATACAGTGTATACAGGTTACAGAGGGAGGTATATAGTGTATACAGGTTACAGAGGGAGGGTATGTGTATACAGTGTATACAGGTTACAGAGGGAGGTGTATACAGGTTACAGAGGGAGGTGTATACAGTGTATACAGGTTACAGAGGGAGGTGTATACAGGTTACAGAGGGAGGTGTATACAGGTTACAGAGGGAGGTGTATACAGGTTACAGAGGGAGGTGTATACAGGTTACAGAGGGAGGTGTATACAGGTTACAGAGGGAGGTGTATACAGGTTACAGAGGGAGGTATATAGTGTATACAGGTTACAGAGGGAGGTATAGAGTGTATACAGGTTACAGAGGGAGGTGTATAGTGTATACAGGTTACAGAGGGAGGTATATAGTGTATACAGGTTACAGAGGGAGGTATATAGTGTATACCGGGTTACAGAGGGAGGTGTATAGTGTATACAGGTTACAGAGGGAGGTATATAGTGCATACAGGTTACAGAGGGAGGTATATAGTGCATACAGGTTACAGAGGGAGGTATATAGTGCATACAGGTTACAGAGGGAGGTGTATAGTGTATACAGGGTTACAGAGGGAGGTATAGAGTGTATACAGGTTACAGAGGGAGGTATAGAGTGTATACAGGTTACAGAGGGAGGTATATAGTGTATACAGGGTTACAGAGGGAGGTATACAGTGTATACAGGTTACAGAGGGAGGTATATAGTGTATACAGGTTACAGAGGGAGGTATATAGTGTATACAGGTTACAGAGGGAGGTATACAGTGTATACAGGTTACAGAGGGAGGTATAGAGTGTATACAGGTTACAGAGGGAGGTATACAGTGTATACAGGTTACAGAGGGAGGTATAGAGTGTATACAGGTTACAGAGGGAGGTATATAGTGTATACAGGTTACAGAGGGAGGTATATAGTGTATACAGGTTACAGAGGGAGGTATATAGTGTATACAGGTTACAGAGGGAGGTATATAGTGTATACAGGTTACAGAGGGAGGTATATAGTGTATACAGGTTACAGAGGGAGGTATATAGTGTATACAGGTTACAGAGGGAGGTATATAGTGTATACAGGTTACAGAGGGAGGTATATAATGAATACTTATAGTTTGTATGGCCGGGGGCTCTCGAAGCCCTTGTCTCCCTTCTTCCTGTTCATGGCGACAGTGTCCTCCCACCTCTGCTCCGCGGCTTGGCCC